TTTACAAACTGATAAGGGGAAAGAATTTTATAATAGATTAGTAAAAAATCTTTTTAAAAAATTTAAAATTTCATTATTCGACTCATTCCGATACAAAAGCCGCTGTCGTTGAAAGATTAAATAAAACTTTGCGAAATAAAATATATAGATTATTTACTTATCGTAATCCTTATAAATATATCAATAAATTATCGGATATTGTGAAAAGTTATAATAATAGTTTTCATAGAAGTATCGGTACGTCTCCGTCGGAAGTTTCCCCGCTACATCACAGCTCTATTTTCGAAAAGTTGTACGGTATAAAAAGACAGAATACGTTTAAATTTAATATTGGCGACCTCGTTCGAATTTCGAAAATACGTAAAACATTTAGTCGAGGATACCTACCTGGTTGGACAGAAGAAATATTTATTATTCACGATCGTTTATCGTTTCGTCCTCCGACGTATATATTGAAAGATCTAAATAACGAGATTTTGGAAGGAAGATTATATACAGAAGAATTACAGAAGGTAACAAAATAATGCAGTCAGACTTTTTCGTCACTCTGATAAGCAACGCCAGCATGGAGTTATTTCCCGAAAATAAGCAGTTTCATTTTACCGTGAAAATGAGTCCACCTATCGATTTACGCGGGAAATGGGTAGTAGGTCTGAGCGAGGTTATTATTCCTAGAAATTGGTTTAACATATCAAATCATAATAACGATTATACTATTACTAGACATAGAAGAGAAAAAATAACCGATTTAACATGGGAGATTCCATTAACTACAGGCGACGAGAATGAAGAAGGGGAGCTTTTCGATTGGATAAACGAGAATATAGTTTCGTTAACAGGATCTAAGTTAGCAGAATTTGTTTTAGACAAGGATTATAAAAATGTAAAACTAAATTTGAAAGAGGGATTTGAGTTTAATGTTACAAAAGAGCATGCTCACAAATTACTTTATTTATTAAATTTATCAACCAATAATATAATATTTAAACAACAGAGTTCGAGTTTAATATTGCGAGAAGAGACTAAGCAATATCTATCAAATCCTAGATTTTATAAAGATCAGTTTATAACTTTAGTAGAAAGAAATAAAAAAGTTTTCAAGGAAATCGATGTAGAGGAAAAAATTTTCATTCCAATAGGGTTACATTCCTCTGTTGAAAAATTTCTCGGAATTTTTAAATATATTAAATTAGCATTACTACCTAATAACAAAATCGTTTTAAAAGTTCATAAACATATAACGATTGAATTCGGAAACGAATTAAAAGATTTGTTAGGATTTAAAACAAGCAAATTTTCCGAAGGTGAATATGTGAGCGACTATCCCATCGAATTATCTGCGGGAATTTCAAAAATTTTTATTTATTCGAATATCGTTGCTTCTCATCGTGTTGGCCATATAACCGCTCCACGTTTAAGGGTTATACCTGTAATGGGGGAAAAGTCAGATCAGATAGTTAGAGTCTACCAATTACCTCTATACCTTCCTTTACGACGTAATTATATAGATACAATCGAAATCGAGCTGAGAACTGCTAGCGGAAAAGAAATCGTCTTTTTTGGAAGAAAGACATTATTAGTTTTATCCTTTAAACAGATATAAATATTGGTATATTTTATTTATTAACGTTTGTTCGTCTTTGTGAAGTAGAAAATGAAGCTCGATCCGCGAGATTGTATAGATTATTACTGCAATCAGGCAGGAGGAACGGTACTGAAACACAAGTTTCCATTATTTGCACGACAATTCGAAAGAGGGACTTATTTTGCCAGACTGCAAATACAGAGAGGATACGCATTTTTCGGGGATTTATTTCGTAAATCTATTCCTATTCTTAGTAGAGTAGGAAAGTATTTAGGGGGTAAAGCTTTAAAATTTGCATCGAATGTCGGATCAGATGTAATTGGAGGGAAGTCGTTTAAAGAATCTACAAAAAATCGTTTTGACGATGTACGATCTGAAATTAAGGAAGACGTGCTTAAAAAAGTGCAGACGTGATCGGGTATAAAAAGAAAACGACCGAAAAGATAAACTCAGTCAGAAAAGAAGAAGAAGAAAAAGCGAAAACTTAACGATATTTTTCGTAATTAAGAAACAATGAACCTCTATCCCTGCGGCTGTACCAAATCCGAATTAGATTTGTTTACTAATGTGGCGACACAGCTGGCTATCGACAATACGTATGAAGTAATCGCTCATCCTGTGGTGGCAATTAAGGATAGTAGATCACCTATAGAGTTTATTATATCAGGATCTGATGAGCATTATATGGATCTACATTCGATTTATCTATGTGTTCAAGCGAAAATCGTAAAGAAAGACGGATCAAACCTTGGCTTGGAAGAAAAAGTTTCTCCTATTAACTATTTTTTAAATAGTTTGTTTTCTCAATGTACTGTTTTTTTAAATGACAAACCAATAATTACGCATGTCAATTATCCTTACAGAAGTATATTAGATGCCTTGCTATTTAATTCGAAAGAAGTGCAAGAAACTTTTTTAACGAGCGCGTTATTTTTTAAAGATACTGCTGGACAAATGGATTCGATAAATTCGTTAGATGAAAATAATACTAACTACGGATTAGTTAAAAGATTTAACATCAGCGAAGGAAGTAGAATAATAGATTTAATGGGACGTCTTCATATCGATTTAGCGAACCAGCCTAAGCTTCTAACAAACAATGTAGACCTAAGAATTAAATTGGAAAGATCTAAAGAAAATTTTGCGCTAATGGCAAATAACAACGACTATAAAATTATTATTAAAAACGCATCGCTGAAAATTAATAAAGTAGACGTTAGTTCATCAATACAGATAGGGATTGAGAAAGCATTACAAACTGGATTAATTAAATTACCGTTCTTACGAACAGATGTGAAAGTCTTTACATTAACTAGCAGGATTCAATCTACAAGTATATCAAACGTTGTTATCGGTCAACTACCTTATAGAATAACTCTCGGATTAGTTTCTAATTCTGCATTTAATGGAAATGTGAAGTGTAATCCTTTTAATTTTAAAAATTATGATTTAAATTATATATGTTTATCAAAAGGCAATCAAATGATTTTTTCTAAACCCTATATTCCGGATTATAGCAATAACATTTATGCAAGAAATTTTATCTCGTTATTCAAAGATACCAGATGTATTCATCATCACAAGTCTATAAATATATCGTACGACGAGTATCAAGACGGTTATACTTTATATTGTTTTGATCTTACACCCGATAAATCAGGCTCCAAAAATCACATTAGCGTGAACCAGCTAGGAAATGTCAGTGTGGAATTAAAGTTTTTGAAGGCGATACCGGAAACCATAAACGTTATTTGTTTCCTAAAATATAATAATACCTTAGAAATCGATCATTCACAAACCGTATTCGTCGATTATTAATGAATACTGTTATGTTGTGGAGATTAGCAGCGAGCGATCCGAAAATAAAAAGAAATTTCGCAGGAGTGTTTGCATCCGACGATCTGCCATTTCAAGTTGGTAATAAACAATGTTTTATAATTAATTTAGATGAAAAAAATAAGCCGGGAAGTCATTGGGTATCGGTATTTTTTACGAAAGATAAAAATTCTTGCATTTATTACTTTATTTATTGCATTGCAAAAATTCTTGCATTTATTTAATTCTTGTGTCTCAATATAACAATTACTTGTATTAATTCTTTATTTAAGTTATTGCAATTTTATGTCTGTTCAAAATGAGTAAGAGGTGTTACGTTCGTTTTGCAGATGTGTGTAACTAGTGCTGGACTTTTGTATTGAAACTGATTTAGTAGTGTACAACGTATGGATGCGCCACATTCACAAACGATTTTATACTACGGACCATGTAGAAAAATGACATTTTACGTTGTTTTTCTACATGGTTCCGTATGGTTATTGCATATTGGTTCGATTATATAACGATTGTAACGTTCTATAAATTAATCAAATAGAAAATAGTTCGTTTGATTCTTAACAATTCTCATCATTTTCAGCGATAGGTGTTATATAATAATTACTATGGTTGTTGAAATACTGAATATAAACGGGGTTTGCTTCTAAAATCCGTGCAGGCGAAGTTGCGGGTAATAGCTAGTACAATATGTTTATAAACGAACTTACACTTGAAACACGAGTTTTTTTATACTTAGTAAAAAAGTTCTTCGTTGCTAAGTTATATTACAAATGGGTTATATTTACTTTAATAACTGTCAGAATCTAGGAGCCGATATTTTGTTCAAATAATTAAAACTTAAAAGGTAATAACCATTTTTTTAAATCGTGAGTCACAGTAAACTTACTTTCGATTTCAAAAAGTTCTTAGAGAAAGATGCTGATTTTGAAATCAACTTCAGAAGAAAGTTCTTTGTTGCTTCTTTTTTCAGGTGACTAAAATCGCTTCAATTCAATGGTTAGACCAATATCCTATAACTAAGATTAACACAGACGCTTTTCAACTGGAATTGGAAATAGAACTCTGAAGAAAGTTTGTGTCTGAACTGAAAGCAGATTTCTGTCGAATGTAGGATTTCGATGCTACAGCCGTTGAATTTTAAATAATTAGTTATATTATTATCGTATTATGTTTTAAGTGTCAAACTACATTGTCTGAATATAGCTCGTTCCGCTAATATATTACCGTTCGGACTAATTCAAATCTATTTAACTTATCGCTAGTTAAAACGCGATATAAAACTACTGTTTTAACTGGTGTCAGATTATGAGTTTTCATTCCGTCTCTTCTGCAGCGTTTTTCACACAAATTCCCTCTTACAAGTAATGTGAACAGCTCCATGGGCGGTCTTCATATTTCAAACAAAAAGTTAAAAGTATTCAAATTTACTCATATTCCGTTTTGTGTATTACAATAAACTATTAAACAAATATTTCAAAAATTATTTTTATTAAGTATTAAATAGTTCGAAATCTAGTATTTATAATATATTATTTTACTAAATATATATTGAGTGGTAAAGGTAAAATGAAGACATTTTTTTGATTTTTTTCTACAATTTTAACAAAATGCTCCACAACGCTTGATGTGGTTGTAACAATGGGGTAAACAATAGCCATTTTACAGGGGACACAATGGTAAACCTGCTGTTACAAACAACAAACCAAAAACAGTACATGAAATAGAGATTATTCGTGTGTTTTTGGCTTATCATTATGGGCTTCTTCCAACTGACATGACTGTCATGAAATATTACTGCTATAAATAATTGGATGATTTGAACGCCAAGATCAGACAACTTTGATTAAAAATTGATACAGTCAGATATCACCACGATATCGTGCCAGCACACATAAAATGATGAGCTCAGAGAAGTAGACCAGTAATTCTGCCTCATTAACCTTACAGTTCATATATGACGCCGAATGATAACCATGTATTTCGCGTCTTGAGCAACGATATTTCCAATACACACTTTAATGGCAATACATTACAATACGAAAATTTGTTTTAAAAAAAGTACAATATTTTAAACTAATGCAATTTAAAGCTTGAAGCAGTTGTTGCTAGATAAATTGTTATCGATGGTAATTATTATCTAATAAACTGAACTGCGATCATTTTTGAGTTAACTCAAAAATGATCGCAGTGATGTATTGCCATTAAAGTGTATATTCAAAAACTCGTTGCTCAAAACGCAAAATACATGGCAATCATTTGGCGCGATGTAAGGCTATAATGTGAATAAAGGCAGAATCACTGGTCTACCTGAAGTCATTATTGTTATATGTGCTGGCGCGATATCGTAGCGGCATCTGAATGTGTTTATTTTAAATATTTTACATTATTTATCTTTTTTCTACACACATTCTTATGCCTAATGTTGAGGTGAACATAACTGAGTATGAAGTAACGATCTTATCTTGAGGATCCAAAGAGTAAAATTTAAAATTACGAAGAACATTTGCCAAAACCGTTTTCATTTTGATCATGGCGAGTTTACTTCCTGTAAATTAATTATTTTAATAAAATATATATATATTTTTGTGTATTTATTCACTAATCACTTACCGAGACAATTTCGTGGACCAGCAGAAAATGGCAGAAATGCATAAGGATGAAGATTTTTGTAGTTTTTAGGTAGGAAACGGTCTGGATCGAACACTTCGGGATTTTCGTAAACAGAAGGATTATGATGGATGCCATAGATACTTATGACAAGAGTCGAATTTGCGGGTAACAGGTAATTACCTATTTGAATGACAACGATTTAGTGCTTCGAGTAAATAACTAATTTAAAATATTATTATTTAAAAATAAATTTCAATATATCAAAAATTACCTATTTTCATTTCCGAAGGATTTTTTCTTGCAATAAAAGGTAAAGGAGGATAGATTCTCATCGACTCCTGAAAATTGTAATGTATAAAACTAGTCCTTGAATGTATTAAAAAATTAAGAAGGTTACCTTAATTACGCATTCTAAGTACGTCATTTTTGTCAGGTCATCGATAGTAATATCTCTATTCATATCATTTTTGAAAATTTCTTGCAATTCTGAATACAGTTTTTCTTGTATTTCGTGGAATCTTCCCAGCAAATAAAAAGTCCATGACGTAGCATGGGCGGTTGTATCGTAACCCTGATATTAAAATACGTTAAAAAAGAATTGTAAAATTGCTTTCTATATAATTTACATTTGTAGTAAAATGAATACTGTATAATAAACTTGTAAAAGTAGGATATGGCATGCGTAAATGCTGCTCATCTTTCATATTCATGTCATACCAGTTTACAATGCACAATCACATTACTTGCAGCATGCAGTTCACATAGTTCTTCGTACTTTAACTTTGTCTTTATCTTCCTGTGGCTAAGAGCAAGGGCAAGCTTATGCCAGAATCCTCGGTCATTGGACACATGTGTATATAGTGCTCATTCCCATCATGGCAATTACAGATGGTACAGATGTCCGTTGCAGATTTGCCAAACCTAGGTTACTAATCTCTCATGCCCAGTGAAAAATTGGGTGGTTTCAAAGTTTGTACTATTTACAACATAATATCAGTGATCTGATTTCGAGAGTTTACTGCTTTTTCCAATAAGAAAACAGTCCAGAAACTTTCAAATGGCGCCAGTTGTATCTGGCATAAGTTACAGTGATAAAATGAAAAAGAAAAAAAGGCCTCATTTCACTTCTTCTGAAATAAATGTATTTATAAGTGAAGTCGAAAATAAATAATATTAGTAAATGGGACGATGGTTCTAACTATTACTTCTCGCGGAAAACGTAATTATTGGAGATTAGGTCTAATTTTAAAGAAGTGAAGTGTTAGTAATGTACTGTGCAGCATATAGCAACATAGATTAAAATTCGACATAAACGGAGAGAGATTACAAAACGTTTCAAAAAAAGAAAGTTATTAAAATTTGTAAATAATTTATTATAACAATTTTGTCTATAATTTTAACACAGTTAACAGAATAGAATGTTATACATGTACTGTACGGCTTTGCAAACGAAGTTTCAGCTCCTCAATGAAACTAAAAATAGTTTCTGTTCTAAAAACTGTTCTTTACTTTCGCATTCGACATGAGCAGATTAATTCTATGAACAAAATGTCTTCGATCGATGGACAAAATAAACATTAAATTGTCCACGAACTGTGTAATTAGTCGAACGAAAAAACTAAATACACATAGAATACATAGAATTAGCATACGAGTATAAAGCTGAGTAGAATAAAAAATAATTTATAACATATTTGTTAATGGTATTTTAAACATACCTATGCTATTCTAAGGATAAATAAAATAATTATTATTAAGAAAGGAAATTAGTTACGAGGTTAAGTACTATAGGATTNAAGAGTCGAATTTGCAGGTAACAGGTAATTACCTATTTGAATGACAACGATTTAATGCTTCGAGTAAATAACTAATATAAAATATTATTATTTAAAAACAAATTTCAATATATCAAAAATTACCTATTTTCATTTCCGAAGGATTTTTTCTTGCAATAAAAGGAACAGGAGGATAGAGTCTCATCGACTCCTGAAAATTGTAATGTATAAAACTAGTCCTTGAATGTATTAAAAAAATTAAGAAGGTTACCTTAATTACGCATTCTAAGTACGTCATTTCTGTCAGGTCATCGATAGTAATATCTCTATTCATATCATTTTTGAAAATTTCTTGCAATTCTGTATACAGTTTTTCTTGTATTTCATGGAATCTTCCCAGCAAATAAAGAGTCCATGACGTAGCATGGGCGGTTGTGTCGTAACCCTGATATTAAAATACGTTAAAAAAGAATTGTAAAATTGCTTTCTATATAATTTATATTTGTAGTAAAATGAATACTGTATAAAAAACTTGTAAAAGTAGGATATGGCATGCGTAAATGCTGCTCATCTTTCATATTCATGTCATACCAGTTTACAATGCACAATCACATTACTTGCAGCATGCAGTTCACATAGTTCTTCGTACTTTAACTTTGTCTTTATCTTCCTGTGGCTAAGAGCAAGGGCAAGCTCATGCCAGCATCCTCGGTCATTGGACACATGTGTATATAGTGCTCAATCCCATCACGGCAATTACAGATGGTACAGATGTCTGTTGCAGATTTGCCAAACCTAGGTTACTAATCTCCCATGCCCAGTGAAAAATTGGGTGGTTTCAAAGTTTGTACTATTTACAACATAATATCAGTGATCTGATTTCGAGAGTTTACTGCTTTTTTCAATAAGAAAACAGTGCAGAAACTTACAAATGGCGCCAGTTGTATACGGCATAAGTTACAGTGATAAAATGAAAAAGAAAAATAAGGCCTTATTTCACTTCTTTTGAAATACAGGTATTTATAAATGAAGTCGAAAATAAATAATATTAGTAAAGGGGAGGATGGTTTTAACTATTACTTCTCGCGGAAAACGTAATTATTGGAGATTAAGCCTAATTTTAAAGAAGTGAAGTCTCAGTAATGTACTGTACAGCACATAGCAAGATAGATGAAGATTCGACATAAATGGAGAAAGATTACAAAACGTTTCGAAAAAAGAAAGTTATTAAAATTTGTAAATAATTTATTATAACAATTTTGTCTATAATTTTAACACAGTTAACAGAATAGAATGTTATACATGTGCTGTACGGCTTTGCAAACGAAGTTTCAGTTCCTCAATGAAACTAAAAATTCTTTTCTTTCGCATTCGACATGATCAGATTAATTCTATAAACAAAATGTCTTCGATCGATGGACAAATTAAACGTTAAATTGTCCACGAACTGCGTAATTAGTCGAACGAAAAAACTAAATACACATCTTGAATTGTCTTGACTTACGACAATTCATTACATGTCGTAATGTAACTCTATATACAGTATTTACATTTTCGGTTATTCTCTTATTATTGATTGAATTACTTTGGTCATCATCTCATATATTACTTGCTTTGAATACTTTCAAATGTTTTTATAAAAGAAAATTGATTAATTAATACTCGGAGAGATAAATTAATAACAATTAATAACCCACAGAACTAAGTTACGAATGTGCAAACTACTATTTTACATAATTATTAGAGAAACCGCATTCGATATGAATTCGAAAAGTAAGGCACGTCTATCCTTTTTCACCCGAATTTTTCGCTTCAATTAGTCATAATAACATAATAATAATGTAAATCACTAATAGATACACATTTTTAGTTTCTCAAAATTATACTTTTCCTGCGTGTATATAAATAGAGCAAATATACAGTAATTAATAAACTTTTTGTTTTATATCCAAAATTTCTTTCTGTGACACTTTACATAAGAAAAATATAAAAGGACAAAATTGAGATTTANATAATTAAGCAAATATAAAATAAATAAAATAATTAAGCATATTATATTACCTTTGCAGATTCTGGATGTAAGAAAAAAATTAATTTAAATGAGAATATGTTGAGGCAGGCAACTTTCTCGTTTAGATATAGCATAGAGAGTCCAGTCAAGAAATTTAAAGTAACTGGAAAAATAGGAAAAATATTTATGTATTTATAAACAGTGAAATTATCCAATAAAATATTATTGACATACGTATCCCGCTGTGTAAATTGTGATATCGCTTGTAACGTTGAGAAAATACAATGTTCCACAAAATTGGTAAAAAGGACATAGTCGCAACATTCATTTTTAACTTCTGGCCATTGTCTTTATTTTCTGAAAAATTAATGTCTGTTATAAAAGTAAAAGTTAATAACGAGCAATCATTATTGTGACATGGTCAGAATGACAAGCAGAAATTTTTTATCATGTTTTTAATTTATATAAGCCTAATTTAAAATATGTACTCCAATTGAAATTAGTGGTTGCTTTGCTTTGTACTGTACATCACACCTATAACAACAGAGTAATACCAGTCATCTATCTGTGAAAATCGGATCAAGTAAACGAGTTTAAAAATCTTCTAAACAACGAAAAATTATAGAGACGAATATTTTTTATTCAAACAAAGAAACTTCCATTTCTACGCGCTATCGAACATTTTTCTGGGGCGGATGTTCATCTTCCCGTCCCCGGAGTTACTTCCTTTCCCTCCGGAACCCAAATCTGAATCAACAGGATCTTATCCAAAAAAATCTATGATTGGTGTAAAAAAATAACGTGATAAAAGATCTCCCGAAGATATAAAAGGGGGGACTTCCACAGAAGGGGGTCGAATTCGCCGTCCAGGAGCTGATCCGACATCGCTGTCACCAGAATCGACCGTTGAATACTCTACCGATCCGGTCTACAGGCTACAGCGGAGACCTCTACGGAAGAAGACGACCTCGAGCCGATTCTACCTCAACCTCGTCGCTAATCAATAAGCGAGGTATGGAAACCCAAAAATTAATGTGAACTCTCTCTCGGCGCGGTCCTTCCAATTCCAAGTGAACGGTCAATAATCTCTTGTGTTAGGTTTAGTTTGTGTTAATAAATGTTTGTTTTGTTGTTAATCGGAGTCTTTAATTCGAATAACGCACAAACCTCACCGACGGCCCCTCTCTCCTCCTCCACTCGACCTTACGGAAAGAGCTGATCCCGAATTCACGGGATATAAAATCATTCCACACGTCATCCCCAGACCAGTGGGCAGTTCTCACCGAACTGTTGCCTATCAAAAAGAGGTACGACTTAGTCCTACCTCAGGCTACCCACATATCTAATATCTTCCAGAGGAAAATATTTGAATTAAAATAGTATGATTTCCGCTTTTTAACGAAGGTTCCTATATAGTTATTCAGGGCCGAACGTACAAAGCATTTCCAAGGTTTGTCTCGTTCTTCGTATGTCTCACCCTCTTCTCGAAATTAAAAAATTACTGACTGACAGTCAATCGACAGTAGGAATTTATAGGACTACAGTTATTTCGAATCGCAGCTCAATAACTATGTATCGTATGTCATAAAAGTATTTTGTTTTCATTTCCTTATATTCGATTTATTCATACACGTACTAAATATATTGTATGGCAATCGTACAAATAAGTTTCGTTATCCATGTTAGGATATGCAAAATGTATATTTTCGAATAATTAGTAGATATTTTTTAAGTTGTTAAAAATATTTTTATTGCTAAATTTTGTTTGCTTGTATTGTAGACACTTCAGTAAATTAGAAGCACTTTGTTTCTGATTGAATGGCCTGGACATGGTGACCTGTCATTGATTTTATTAAATTTTAGTAACTTAAGGTCTAGAGATGGAGAGATATAAAGGTATAATATAACGAAGACTTTACAAGTTATTAAAGTTTACAATTTTTTTACAAAATTTATCTTTACTGTTAAAATTGAGTCTTTTACAATTTTATAATAATTAATAATGAAAACATATTTTTAAAATCTCATAACTAATGAATTTACACACATTTTATCAGTAGTAGGGGAGACCGGGGCAAGATCGGCATGTTAAGCTTTACTTAAATTTTGTGTAATAAATACTGCTGTAAACTAAAAAAAAAGCTTTGCATATTGTCTATTGGAATTTTACCTTACTATAGAACTGGTTAAAATCAGTTTGGAAATAAAAATAATTAAAATAATTACAACTTTACAAGAAGAGAGAAATTGACGAAGTTGCCCCGGGTATAGGGGCAAGATCGGCAACTTCTCTCTTTTTGTAAAGTTGTAATTATTTTAATTATTTTTATTAAAGTTGCCCCTGGTATAGGGGCAACAGTAATGGGGCAAGATAGGCACGTATATAAAATTATGTTATTAACAATGTATAAGTTGGAATTCACTATTAAAACAAAGAAATACAAATCCAACACCCATTTAATATTATTACAACGAAATGCAAGTTCAAAGACATATATACATGAATAACAAATGCAAACATGTTTTCATTTATCATCTGTTTGATTTTTATCCTTTGCTTCTAATGTGGCTTTATGTTGCCGATCTTACCCCGCTAGTCATGATTTCGAAACATTAAGTACAACCCTGAGAACAGAATGCCAAGCCACGATCTGGCCACGTGAATAAGTTGAAGTTACATCCTTCTAACAGGAAAAGTAACTTTCGTTATCATGGAATTATAACAAAACCTGCCAATTCAATATAAATGGAAAAAAAATATTATATGGAATTCAACAAAAATGAAAATTTGCTTGATAATTCAACTACGCTTGTTGGAGAACAATAAAAACACTACACTCAACAAGCCACGAATAAAACTCAACTGCCTAACCTATAACCAAAGTCTCCTTTTAATTTGTTTTAAAAAAAAAGCGCTTGACAAACTTGCCCCGCATGCCGAAGTTGCCCCGATCTCCCCTATAATTAAAGATATAAAAATAATTTTTTAAAATAAAATCTATTAACAGTCGGTAAAATTTGATAATTTGCCGCTGGAATTTTTATAACGCTAAATATTATTGCATAATTATAAAATTCACTAGTTGTATTATTAATGTAGTAAGAATAGAAACAAATTTCTGGTGATAAACTTTTTGTCGATTTTTACACAATTCTTCAGTTATTTAAAGCATAAGTAACACGTTTATTACGTACAAATATACATAATCTGGCACTGCTGACAAAATAAACTGATGTGCTCTTTAAAACCACGATTACGAGAAACAATCTTAAAACGTATGAATATAAGAAAGTGGGCCAATTGACAAAATGCAGGCATATTGCGCTAAGACTGTGCCAATTAATCAGAAGCCCACGAGTATAAAGATTTCAAGTATAACATGAAATACTCACGACCGACAGAAAGCTGTTGTACAGGTAACGTTAAAGATTTTGTGGGTAACATTAGAAAAGAAAACAAAATGTACGATAACTTCTTTGACGGTAGTAAATGCTATTATGACTACGACTCAAAAAACAAAACAAGATTTACAAAGAATAAATACACCTTTAAATATTTAAAAGAGGAATTACGCTAAAGACAATGACCATGATCTTTCCCCAACGTTGAATTAATAAAAAGATTGAGTGGTGTAATATTAAGTAAAATTAACTTTATTAATCAAACTAGCCATAACAAATATAAACGAGAAATACCGGCACTCGAAAGCTGTAATTCGAATTATCTGAATCCAACGTTTCTTCGTGTATTTATCTATTAATATGCTTTTGTATTATCCGAAATAAATGTGCTTAACACAACCGACAAAAATTCGTTTTAAGTCATTGTAAAGATCCGAAGTTAATAGATTAAAAGAAATAGCAAAACGTCTCTTCACGTGGTAAACGACGACCAATGTAATGTTAATATTTAAACATTGGGCTTACAATTTTATAAATTCTCGATATTTTGAAATAAAACCTTCAAAGAGACCAAAAAAGAGGTGGTCGGTTGTCAAAAAGACTTTTAAGTGTATGCAGACGTTTTCTAGATTTTCCGTTATCTTGGTGTCGCGAAAATCCCTCGTTGTAAATTAAGTTGAAATTGCAGAATTTGGAATTGCCAAAACGGTCCAAAATATTTATTTAAAGTTCAGCACTTCCGTACTGTTCATCGCGAACATTAAATATAGGCCTAAATATTTTAAATTTCATCCAAATCAGTTAGTTGGTCTTGGAGATATTAATGATCAAATGTGGCTGAGTTCTACTATAGATCTCTGCAGCGCTGTCGAATTACTTATTTTAAAAATTAAAAAAAAAACAAAAACTATTCAATTATTGGCTTACCACCAAAACAACTGAAACACAAGATGCAATAAAAATGTTTTTAATGAATAATTACAGCAAATGCATAATGAACAACTTGATCAATAATATGGAAAATAATAAACACAAACATGGTATAATTAAGTGCTCGAAAAAATTCGTTGTTTGAATAGGAAGATAAACACTCATGATAATCATAATAATATATGGGACCAGAAAAACGTTATTTACAAACTCGGTTTAGAAAACACATATCCGCGATTAAATATAGTCTAATAATAATAGTTCGGCTGTTGCAGTTCATTGTAACAGTAAAGGTTGTCAAATTATTACGGTTAAAATTGTAAATAAAGAATTCAGTATACATAAAAGGAAGGTGGTATGAACTGTTAGAAATACTAAAAATCAAAGATAGAATGATAAATAATAATACAGATCAAAAATTACATAAAACATAGTATCCATATCATCGTGTTACGATGTTACTGTAAATAAGTATGTCATCTTAATGTTTTAAAAGTGCACTTAGTTTTTACTTCATCATTTTATTTTGTTGTTTTAATGATAAAACAGATTTCAATGTCACGGTTTTAATTGTTATTGTTTTAACAGTGCACATTTTATGTAGGCTATATTGTTTGCCTCTAACTGCTATTATTACTTTATGTATCGATTCTACTGTAAGCTCACAATTTTTACACCTTGTTATATATATCGTTCTTGTAAATCATTAACATTCTAACTAATGCTATA